AGTTGTGCATTTAGGATCTGCTAATAAATTTGCTATTTGAGAATTATTGGAATAGTCCACCTAAAGGACATCGTATTTTCAAGCTATAGACTTTTTTGGCACATAATTATTATGTTCTGTCATCTCTCATATGGATACTTTTTAAAAAAAATAATGAGATAAATCCAGAAGTTTTTAATCAGAACAAAGACAAAAGTTGAAAAGATTCCATTATCTTTTTATTTATCTGTAGTAGAATAGTTTTAAATATTGATTATGGTTCTTACCTCCAGTTGATTCAGATTTTAAAAATAAAACTATGGTAATTAAAAAGGCAAAAGCTAATATTTTGTCAAGTTTACCTTCCCATATGCACATCGACCCTGGATGTGCAGGACATTTGCTTAAAGCTGATCTACTTAATGATGTAGAACTGTTCAGACACATTATATTCTTTCCCAATTACACTGTAAATTTATCAGTTTTAGATATTGGGTGCCTGTCACATTGGATGATGTACATTTTGAGTGGAAATGTTAGAATTATTGTGACCTTTGGGAATATGAAGGAAAAAATGTACACATCAGAAAAATATCAAATAGAATTCCTCTTTCTGCCAGTGGGTGTTAGACCTTGTTCTGAAATAAAGTGGTCAGAGTGCGTGTGAGAGGTGAGTTAAACACATTGTCTTTCTTGAACTGAGCATACCTGAGCTTGTGTTCTCGCTTGTATTTTCCATTTTGTGTGTAGGTTAAGGTGGCTTTTTTCTTTTGTGTCAGTTCTAGGAGATTTCCATATCATAATCAGATATGTTTTTCCTCTAGAGAAGCTGGTCTGCTTAGCTTATATCAGTGTGGTGAGGTGCAAAGTAGCCCTGTGTTTTCCTGAATGGATTTACTCTGCCATATGGCAGGTTAGTGAGTCGCCACGACAGATTTGTAATGGGAAAAGGGTTGTGCAGGAAAGGATGTGCGTGATCAGCAGATTTATAGATCAGAAAATGAAATCAGAAGAAAGAATTTCCAGAGTGCCCTTTCCATTTGACAGCTCTCCATGGAGAGGGTGTGGAATGGTTTTTTAGTGTTTTTCTCTTGGCTTTTCGTTGTTCCAGCCTATTTTCTCTAGCACAAGAGTTGATTTTATAAGGCATCAGTGTTCCGGGTGTTATGTTGCTATATTCCTATTTATAGAAATATTTTCTTTTTGTAGGATTTGTGCTGTGTTTCATATGATAAGATCTCAGTAGCAATTAAATTCCTGAAGACATAACAAGGCTAAAATGGGGATTTGCCACCCATCAGATTTTGAGTTACAAGAGGAGGCTATTCAGATAAGATTTAGTGAGTACTGAATCTTTTGAAGGAAAGAAAACAAAAAGTGTGGGGCAAAGGCAGTATATGTAACGTAAATATTTGTACCCCTGTAATATGGTGAAATAAACAAAAAGTATAAATAT